ATATCTACATGGTTGTTTGTGATTTTGTACATGATTGTAAGTCTGTGTGCTTGTCTTCGTGTCTCGAGCTGGTCCATGTTAATCTGTTTTTTTTTTTTTTTTTTTTTTTATGTGAGATGTAATACCAGGAGTATGTGAGTAATTGCGAGTAATAAACCTGGCTGCCCTAGTATTAACCTGCTCGAGTTTCTCAGTGTTGTGTTTAGTGTAGAGGTCCCATACAGCCGCACAGTACTCTAGTGTTGGACGTACAAGTGTGCTGTAAGCTATGTGTTTAATGTCCGGGGTACAGTTGTGTAAGTTACTCCTCAGAAACCCCCAGTGTTCTGTTGGCTTTGTTAATGAAGTCGGTGTGTGTTAACGGAGAGATTGTTGGAAAGATGAATACCGAGGTATTTGTGAGTTGCTGTAGATGTTAAGGGATGGTTGTGTAAGGTGTAGGTGTAGTGGATAGGTGTGTGTGATCGTGTGAAATGGAGAACTTTGCATTTATCGGGTCTAAAGGACATTTGCCATAGTCTCTCCCACTGTTCAAGCGCGTCAATGTCTTGTTGGAGGAGTCTACAGTTGTCTTCAGTCTTTATAGGTCGTAACAAAAGGCTGCCGTCAGCAAAAAGTCTAGTAGAAGAATTAGGAGTCGAAAGTGGAAGGTCATTTATGTACAGAAGAAAAAGAAGGGGGCCAAGAACGGTGCCTTGTGGGACACCAGAAGAGACAGGGACAGGGTCAGAAGATACTCCGTCGAGTAAGACGCGTTGGGTCCTACACGTCAAGAAAGCAGTGATCCAGTGAAGTATTGGTCCTGTGATCCCGTAATGTCGTAATTTAAGAGTCAGTCTTTTGTGGGGAACTTTGTCAAAGGCTTTGGCAAAGTCTAGTAATATGGTGTCAACTTGTTTGGTGTCACGTCTGTCTAGTTGTTGTACAATGGCATGGTGTGTAGCGATTAGTTGGGTCTCACATGATCGTCTGGGCCGAAAACCATGTTGTGAGAATGTAAGGATGTTGTAAGTATCAATGTGGTTCATTATGTGTTTATGTATTATGTGTTCATAAATTTTGCAGACGATCGATGTGAGAGAGATGGGGCGATAATTTGTCGGGTCAGTTTGTCTGCCTGTCTTGAAAGGGGGGAGGGGGTGATATTTGCACAAAACCAGTCAGTTGGAAGGGTGAATGAGGCGAGTGATTGGGAAAAGATAGATTGAAGGATGGGAGCAAGGGCAGGGGCACAGGACTTTAGAATTAAGGCGGGGATCTGATCTGGTCCAGTGGCTTTGTTTGTGTCAAGAGTAGTCATTAGTTTCAGTCTGCCGTTAGTCGTGATGTCGAGCGGCGGGATTGGGGGATAATGCCTATCTGGAATGTTAGGTGTATTATCGTCTTCGTGTGTGAAAACAGACTGGAAGTGTGTGTTGAGTAATTGTGATTTGAGTTCTGGGTCAGTTACAAGAGTATTGTAGTCTTTCAAGGCTGTGATCGCCGTTGCGTCCTGTCTGCGCGACTTAAAGAAATTGTTTAGGGTTATTTCTGACGTTGTTTTCGAGGTAGGTGGAAATATGTTCGTGTTCTGCTTTCTATATGTTCTTGGAAAAGAACATATAGAAATATATAATATAATCAATCAAACTAGCAACCTCCTGTCGTGGCGAAACGGTTTATACGTACATACATACATACATACATATATATATATATACATATATATTATTATAATATATATATACATAATACATATATACATACATACATATATATATATAATATATTATAATATATATATAATATATATATGTAATATATATGTGTGTGTGTGTGTGTGTGTGTGTGTGTGTGTGTGTGTGTGTGTGTGTGTGTGTGTGTGTGTGTGTGTGTGTGTGTGTGTGTGTGTATATATATATATTATTTATAATATATATATATATATATACGTTAATATATTATATATATATATATATATATATATATATATAATATATATATATATATATATATATATATAATATATATATATATATAGATATATATATATATATATATATATATATATATATATATACAACACATACACATACATACATACATACTCTCAATCTCAATGTTTATGCGTAGGCGCTAAATGAGCGCATACACGCATATTAATAGCGATTGCTGCTGGGGGAAGGAGGAAGGATCAAGGTGCAAGCGGAAGTGTTGGTGTTTGTGAAGGCGTTTGTATTGTTAGGTGTTTATTTAGTTTGTTTGTGAAAGTGTTAAGTGCTTCAGCTTCGATTATGTGTTGTGGGAGCCTGTTCCATATATTACGTGGAAAGAATGAGTGCTTGTAAGAGTTAGTGTTAGTGTGGTATGTGACAAATTTACTGGTGTGTGAGTTCCTTGTGTTGCGTGAGTGTGCTGAGTATTCGTGTTTGTTGATATCTACATGGTTGTTTGTTGTGATTTTTGTACATGATTGTAAGTCTGTGTGCTTGTCTTCGTGTCTCGAGCTGGTCCATGTTAA